GTTGAAACTATTGATGATGTAAAATCGAATTTCGTTCAGCACAAGGGATATTGTGGTCCCACTTTTCACATGAAGGATTTCAACCGTAAGATCGAGGGGCCTTTTGTATCAATCTGGCTTCATAATGTACCTTGGGGAGGTGAAGATGCTCTTGCAGCACCTGATGCCAAGGTTCGTCTTTGTTTCTTTGCACGTAACTTGATTATACCTATTTTGAATGTACTATTTCCAACTGTGCAGCTTTTAGAACTATACTCGGTCGAATGGCAATCTTAATTCCTTCTCTTGGGCTCATTTGCAGTTTTCAGATGGTTACTTGGACTTGGTTGTGATAAAGGACTGCCCAAAACTAACATTGCTATCGTTGATGACCGAGTTAAACAAAGGCGGCCATGTCAGATCACCATATGTCTTGTATTTCAAGGTAGAGTTTTTTTAACCTTTAAGTTAGCTCCATCACGCCCTTCCCTGAACCTTGCCTGACCGCGGGATGTTTTGTGCACCGCGCTGCCTTTTTTTTCTTCCTTATAAGTTAGCTCCATCATGCAAACTCTCATCTCTTTAAGCATACTCTTTTTAACTACTACATTTCTTATTACTTATAAAGAATATCCTGTGTCTCCAAAAATGTCGCCATGCATGTCAGATCCTCCAAAATAGTGCATTTTTGAAGGATCTGACACGGGTGTGCAGCATTTTGGAGCGTCCGCTCGACATAGAGAATATCAATATTAATTTGTTCATCTTTGTTGGAAGTTCCTAAACCTTAAATTTGCATATGCATTGATTTGAATGTAAAATAAGGCATCTGATTGTTGTAAAACCACAACAGGTTAAAGCTTTTGTTCTGGAGCCGGGTTCACGATTAGATGATCCATCCAAAGAAGGGATTATAGATGTAGACGGCGAGGTCCTTGCCAGAGGTAAAGGAACTTATAAATCAGATCAGAAGACATTGATGACATATAACAAGCTCCATATAAAAGTAGATCAAGGGTTGGCTACTGTATTTTCTCCTACAATTCCTTAAATTTTTGCATTTTGTTTTTCTGAAGGAGAAATTTATTTGGTTCATTGGATAAACAATCATGTATATACGATGACCAAAAAAGGGTAAATATAAGAAAGGATAAAGTATTAAGGTTGTGAATTCTTTTATTATGCATATGCTAAATTTTTTGGAGAACAAAACCAACACACACAAGCTGAAATATTGGCATTGTTTACATGGTTAGCCTTTGGTATTGTGACAAGAATATCGTTATAAAAGTTTGGGAGGAAGCTTGGTACATTGTTCATTTTGTGACTGAATTTTAGGAAAATTTTCACAATTTTCAAAACATTTAAAGGTGTAAAGCCAACGATTGTGGTACAAAAATAATATTTCATCCCTCTCAAATTATCTGTCGTGTTTTTCTTTATTAAATAGGAAATGTTTTTAATTATGCCCTTATTTATTTTAAGATATAATCTATCTTCATTTAATACTTAGTCATAATTAAGGTATTTGTAGTTTTCAAGAACAATTAATATTAAGGGTAGAATAGAAATAAAATAATTAATTTACTCTTAAATTTTTAAAATGACAAATAATTTTAACAATTGTTAGGAGGATAAGAAACACATGTTTTGGTGTGCTAGAAATTTTGACTTGAAAATCGAGATACTATTAGAAGGTTGAAGTTCGAAGACTGGTCCAAATTCACCGACAATTTTTGAACTCATAAAAACGTGTGGAAATAAAATTAGTTACTTACATGTTTCGGCTTCTCCTTATCCATACTTGTCTCTGAGTCATATTGCTTGGGAAATAATTCATTTTATTTAAACAATTAGTAGTATTAGTGTAATATGATCGAAATCGAGCTCGCCAACGATTTGGTTGATTAGGCTTGGAACGTGGCAACCAAGGACTGAAGATCAACCTCGAATCCCACCGAGCTAGAACTCGAGGTCAGAACGCCTGCCTTTGAGGAATAGTGAGTCCGGTGTCGACCTTAGCCTCGAACGAGCTCGAAGAAACATTATTGAATTAACTAACAGTTTACCGAAATATCCGCGACCGGTCGGATATTGCGGCAGGAATCTCGGCACGTATCAGAAAGGAACCGGCAATCAGCGAATCAAGAGATTTTTACCTTTTATGGAAATGTACCTAGAGTAGGACTCCTTTACTATAAAAAGAGGGTCTGATAATTCATTCAACACATTATAACACACATCCCAAAATAATATATTATTATTCTCTTTAAGTTCTTATTATTCTCTTGTTGTTCTGTTCTCATATCAATCAAAATATTTTTGGCTCGAGGGTGACTAAGCTTCCAGGGCTATGATTGTTCAACTTGTGTGGTTAGCATTTACTTTTCCATTACTTATTCCAATTGCAATCTAATTTGTCGTTATGTATCAAGTGAAATCACGTATCCTTAAAACCATTTACAAATTCAATAGTTATCCGATTTTAAGGGTAAACAATTAGATTGGTTGATTTCCTTAGGAGTATGAAGTCTAAATATTAAAAAGAAGATTTTAAGTTCTATATACGGATAATATTTAATTATTACTAGATTAAGTTAATAATAACTTGCAACAATAGGTAGTAATTCCTAACAAATATGAGATTGGAAATTTGAAAAATAAAATGATTTTCTTCATATAACCAATTAAACTCTGCTAATAGCATAAGTATTTTCTACACAATCGATATATATCACTTAAATTCTTTAAAAAAGTAATTAACGAAAACTGAGTTGGGGAGTGAAGGTAGATAAGATAGTGCTCTGAGTTCCTAAAATCTGCGGATATTGATCAGCTTTTCCCTTTGAAATTATTAATAGACAAATATATCAACTTGATAAAAATATACGAGCAAAACTGATTCTAATATTGTTGATAATTATTATTATTATTATTATTATTATTATTATTATTATTATTATTATTATTATTATTATTATTATCTAAGCTCGATACTCAACCTTAATGCGCGCTCAAACAAACCTTTAAATATAAGATTTAGCTAGGTTTTTAAAATTTAAAAGTTTTATATTTGTGCTCGTTAATAAATGAAGAGCTATTTAATTTTCGTCGGTGTATTTGTTCTTTTATAAGGCACTTGGAACCTACCAATGCTCTGCCCTACCACTTGAATATACATGTGCTCTACACGATCACTTAAACCCTATTGTGTTCTACACTAGAACTTACCCGTGCTCTGCACGATACTTGGAACCTATCCATACTCTGCACGATCACTTGGAACTTACCCATGCTCTGCACGGTCACTTAGAACTTATCTGTACTCCGCGCTGCCACTTAAAATTTACACATGCTCTATACGGTCACTTAAAACCTACCTGTGCTCAACATGGCTACTTGGAACTTACCCGTACTCAGCACGACCATTTTGAAACTATCCGTGCTCTACAAAGCACTTGAAACTTACCCCATGCTCTGTACGACCACTTGAAACCTATTCCTGCTCTACATGACCACTTGGAGACTACTCATGCTCTGTATGGTCACTTAGAACCTATACGTGCTATACGCTACCACTTGAAACCAACAAGTGCACTGCACCACCAATTGAATCTACCCGTGCTTTAATCGGCACTTAGGACCTTCTTATGCTCTATACGGTCGCTTGGAATTTATTTGTGCTATGTACAACCACTTGAAATCTACCCATATTATGCACAATAGTTGGAACCTACTCGTACTCTACACGTCCACAATTGGAACCTACCTGTGGTCTACAATGCATTTGGAAAACCTACTTGTGCTCTGCACGGCCACTCAAAACCTACTCATGCTCTGTATGGCCATTTGAAACCTACCCGTACTCATCACGATCACTTGAATCCTACCTGCACCTAGCACGACCACCTCGAATCTACCCATTCTCTACACGGTACTAGGAACCTATATGTGCTCAGCACGGCTATTTAAAACCTACTCATGCTCTGCAAGATCACGTATTGGAACCTATCCGTGTTTGATATTGCCACTTGGAACCTCCCTATGCTCTACACGGTACCTTGAACCTACTTTTTCTCTACACGGTACTTGGGACCTCCCCATGCTCTTCAAGGCACTTGGAACCTACTCTTGCTCTATACGATCACTTGGAACCTAGTCGTGCTCTACACGACATTTGGAATCTACCCGTGCTCTACATGACACTTGGAACCTAGCTGTGTTATGTACTGCCACTTGGAACTCACCCGTGCTCCACAAGACATTTGGAACATAGCCGTGCATTCCATGACCACTTGAAAACTAACCGTGATCTGCATGGCCATTTGGAACCTACTCATGCTCTACACGGTCATTTGGAATATACCTGTGCTCTACATAGCTACTTAGAACTTACTCGTGATTTACACGGCATTTGGAACCTACTTGCGCTTTACAATGTACTTGAAACCTATCTGTGTTCTACACAGCCACTCGTAACATACATGTGTTCTATACGGCTACTTGGAACGTACCCGTGCTCTGCACAGAACTTGGAACCTAGTCGCGCTATGCATGTTTACTTGGAACCTACTCGTGCTTAGCATTGCCATTTAGGATCTACTCATGTTCAGTGCAGCCACTTAGAATTTATTCGTGCTAGGACGATCACTTGAACTTGCAAGATGCATGACACTTGGACTTAATTGTGATCTCCACAACATAACATATCACTACTAGAAAACAACTGGATTCCGACCGAAATTTCCGATTAAAAATAGTCGTCAGAAGATTACGTCGAATTTCATCAGAAATTTGGAAAAAGTTTTTTTTTAATTTTAATTTTAAGTTACTGACCACTTCGGTTGGAACTTTTTTGTGCAAAATTCCGCGAAACAACTTTCTGACTGAATTGGTCGGACTAAAAGTCAAATTTCTTTGTTGATTGGGTATCGACTGAATCAGTCGCAAACGAGAAAAAGAAACTTATTTTTTAAATTAAAAATAGTGATCGATTCGGTCGCAAACGTGGCCCACAGATCTAGATTTATCTTCCCGATCGAATCAGTCAAAAATTCTTTTATTATTTCCCCTCAAACCCAATTTTGTTCACATTTTTCATTCCCCAAAACCTTCTCTCCCTTCTCTCCGACGATTCTGGCAATTTTGGTGATTTCAACCGGTAAGTGTACCTTTACATCACTCTTCTTCCATCCCTCTCTTTCTCTTTCCTTCTCCATTTTTTTTTATCTCTCTCCAGCCCTCTCATTCCAAGGTTTCTTCTTACAGTCAGCAACTTTCGGGCGGTGACAGCGGGATATCCCGGTGGCGACGACGACAACATTGATCTAGGTTAATAATTTTTTCTTCTTTTTTTAGTACCTAATTCGCTCTCCTAATTGGGTTCTTTAATATGTGCATCCCTAAAATTGAATTCAACATTGTGGCTTAGATGTCTATTTTTTCTATTTAGATTTACTCTAATTTGATTCTTCATGCATCCCTAAAATTTAATCTTAACCTTATTAACAATATTGTGCATTAGTTATAAATTTGAGAGTAATATGAAAGTTTATTTGATGATGATGTATCTTATTAATAATGTGCATTAATTAGTGAATCTAAGATTTACATTTATTATATAGCATGCTTTAAAATAGTTGAAAGCTCTACATGAGACTTGTGTAGTTTATACGAAATTTAGTGGTTATCAAAAAATGAACTCCTAAGATTTGTACTTATTCATCAAATTAATAAGCTTAGACAGTCAAGTGATATATTTTTTAAAGTGTTTGGCACATATATAACTTATATTATTGAAATCATCCAAGTATTACACTTAAAAATATAATAAGTGATTGGATTAGTAACTTTGATAAGAATATGACTTATTAATTAGTTTGTTTGATTAGTTAGTATTGATAGGTTAATTTTTGGGAGAAGGAATCTTAACCTTTGTCGGAAAAAATAATAGAAGAAGAAAAAAGTGTATCACTTCATGCCTTATATAGTTTAAATAATTTGAGAGATATTTTGGAGAGAAATCAAAGTATGACTATATTATTAATAAGCAAGACCAGGTCCGAAATTGGTCAAATTTCAATCATCTTGTTTAATCCATTTTTATTTTCACTAATTTTTTTATTTGACAAATATACTATATTAATTAAAGGCATGTGTGGACTTTATGAACATATAAGAAGTTATTTAATGAATTTATATTTTGAAAGACTTATATAACATAAAATAGGGATAAATGTAAGATTTCGGGTGCTAATGTTTAAAAGAATATAATATATTAATTAAAGTGTGTTGAAAAATAATAAGTAAATTTAAAAAATGAACCTTAGAATTGGTGTAACCTATTAATTACTTTAAATAAACTAAAAATTGTAAATATCTTATAAATTTCAAGTTTTTTTGTTTGTGTAGATGGCATTTGCGCATCGTAGATGGATGTATAATAGGAGTCATCCTAATCATGTGGGGTTAAGGGATGAATTTAAAGAAGGGGTTGCTAGATTTATTTCTAAGGCAAGGACACTTTATGATTTTCGTATTGAAGGAACGATTAGGTGCCCTCAAGCGTGTTAAGTTATTGGGAGAAGATGTTGCTACATGTCATCTTTTTAAAAAAGGGATTTATGAAAAATTATTATGTGTGGACTGCTCATGGGGAGAATTTTGATAGCGTAAATGATATTGATTTTCATAATTCTTTTGGTGGTGAGGAGGGTAGTCATGTAGTGGAGAATAATATTGAAAATTCTAGATCCAATGATATGATGAGGGATGCCTTTGAAATATTTCCGGAGGATCAATCTGAATCAAATGATGAGGCTAGGAAGTTCTTCAAAGAGTTAGAGGAAGCTAGTTGTCCATTGTATGAAGGCTCAGTGCATTCCAAGTTATCTGTTGTTGTTCGATTACTTCAGATTAAGTGGGATAATTTTATTTTTCAATCGGGCATGAATTTTATCATTGGGCTTATAAATGAACTTAATCCGATTAACATTGACCTACCCAAAGATTTCTACACTGCAAAAAAAATAGTTTTCAAGTTGGGTCTTTCATCAGAGAGGATTCATTGCTGTGAGAATGGTTGCATGTTATTTTATAAGTAAGATGCATCTCTAGCGAACTAAAAATTTTAGTAACAAGCCTCGTTATAAGGATGCCACAAATGATAAAAAGAAGAAGATCCCGGTGAAGGCGATGCACTACTTACCCCTTATACCAAGGTTAAAGAGGTTGTATGCATCAATGAGCTCTGCTCCTCATATGAGATGTCATTATGAGCATAGAAGGCCAGATAGTTTTATATGTCATCCTTCAAATGGAGAAACATGTAAGCATTTCGATAGGGTATTCCCGGACTTTGCTAGTGAACCAAGAAATATTAGTTTGAGATTATGCGCTAATGGATTCACACCATTGCAGTCTCTGCTGCATCATATTCATGTTGGTCGGTATTTGTTACACCGTATAATCTTCCACCTGAGTTATGTATGACAAGTCCATATTTATTTCTAACTTGTATTGTTCCAGGTCCACAAAATCCAAAAAAGTTGATTGATATTAACATGCAGCCTTTGATTGATGAGTTGAAGTTATTGTGGCATCAAGGCGTGGAAACATATGATGTATCAACTAAGCAAAACTTTAGATTGCGTGCTGCTTTGATGTGGACTATAAATAATTTTCCTGCTTATGAAATGATGTCCGGGTGGTCGACTGCTGGAGAGTTAGCTTGCCCGACTTGTACAGAAGATACAAAGGTATTCACTTTGAAACATAGAGGTAAGAACACATGGTTTGACTGCCGTCGCCGCTTCTTGCCAATGGATCATGAGTTTCAGAGAAATACTAGTGCATTTATGAAGAACAAAATTGATTATGAGGAGCCACCATCCATATTGTCTCCAGAAGAGATTTGGAACAGAGTTAGGGAACTACCTAAGGTAACATAGTATCCTTTGGCTAATAAGATACCTGGTTATGGTGTTACACACAGCTGGACTAAACAGAGCATATTCTGGGAGTTACCTTATTGGAAGCACAATCTTCTTCGGCATAATCTTGATGTCATGCATATTGAGAAGAACATTTTTGACAACTTGTTTAATAATGTGATGGATGTCAACAACAAGACAAAGGATAAATTGAAGGCCAGGATGAACTTAAAGGAATATTGTAGGCGAAGTGAGTGTACCTGACATATTTGAACAACAAGATTCAGAAATCCAAGGCCAGTTTTACCTTCACCTTGGAAGAAAGAAGAGAGATTTATGATTGGGTTAATAATTTGAGTATGTCAGATGGGTATACATCAAATCTGTCTAGGTGTGTTGACTTGAAAGAAGGAAAGTTGACGTCTATGAAAAGCCAAACTGTTACATTTTCATGGATTTTTTTATGCATGTTGCATTTAATGCATTACCTGATAGAATATGGAAGCCCATCACAGAGGTAAGCTTATTTTTCAAGGAGTTATGTTCTAGCACCTTGAGGGTGGAGAACCTAACTTACATGGAGAATAACATTCGCGTAACTCTAAACAAGTTAGTGAAAAATTTTCCTCTTGGTTTTTTTGACGTGACAGAACATCTTCCAATTCACCTTGTACAAGAGGAATGGTTTGGAGGGCCAGTTCAATGCAGATGGATGTATCCATTTGAGAGATAATTAATGACTTTTAATCATTAATTCTTATGTGTTTCATTTTTACATTATTCCATCTAAAAATTCTTATGTGTTTGACTACCATCGCCGCTTCTTGCTAGTGGAACACCCCTGAGTGGAAGAAGAAGAGTGAACATGCAAAGTTAAATAGAGCTTCTACTAAGGGTGGAGCTTTGCATACTGGTGAATCTATCAGGTTTGCAGCCCATCGTTTAAGATTGGTAATTTCATTATAAAATATTCTTAGTTTTATAAGTATGCAAATTAAACATATACATATATTAATTTTCAGAAAAAGAAACGTGAGGGAGATGTGACTTATGCTGATGTCTTTGCGGAGACCCATAAAAGAAGAAGAAGGACGACACAAGAGAAGGATGGGTCGAACCGCATGCTTCAGAGACATTTGTATGATCCCAACTCCAACACTATATTATTTTTCCCTCTTGGTTTATTTTATTTATATAATGTGTATTATTTTATTTCAAGACAAGTATCATATTGATCTTGATGTATGGCAATAAACTCATCCTGAAGGAACTCAGCCGGCCCGAAGGAGATTATTGCAGTTTGGACACAGGCGGCAAGTGGCATGAATAAAGGTATAGATATTTTGTAATAATCTATTTTGGTATTAGTTTGAAAGTTGTGTGATTATTTTCTTACTCCTTTTACTTTCTTTTCTTTATTTCTCGTGAAAATAACTAAAGGTCGAGTCTATGGGATTGGAGTACAGTCATTCTCCAGTCGTCCAGCATTATTATTCGTTGGTGTAATGACCCGACCGGTCGTTTTGAGCTCTAGCGCGTCGCTCGGCAGTTTAAGGCCTTGGGTAGCTTCACTTCATGTTTTATGACTTGTACGCGTAGTCGGAATCGAATTTCGGGAAGTTCAGAGTTGATTCTGATGGAAAATTCTAAATTCGAAAGCTTTAAGTTGGAAGAATTGACTAAGGTTTGACTTTTAATTAAATGACCTCATAATCTGGATTTGAAGGCTCCAATAGGTTCGTATGATGATTTCGGACTTGGGCGTATGTTCGGGTTGAGTATCGGATCGCCTGGGAGCATTTCAGTGCTTATTGTGGAAAGTTGGCATTTTGAAGGTTTTAGAATTTCCTAAGTTTGGTTTGAGGTGAAATTTGGTGATATCGATGTCTGTTTGGGGTTCCGAGCCTTGGAGTAGGTTCGTATTGTGATTTTTGACTTGTGTGTAAAGTTTGACGTCATTCCGGAATGTTTTGATATGATTCAAACGTGTTTGTCGAAGTTTGAAAGTTGAAAGAAATATTTTTATCATCGATTCATGATTTTTATGTTATTTGTGGTGCTTCGAGCCTTTGGATAAGTTTGTATAAGGTATTGGGACTTGTTGGTATGTTCGGACGGGGTCCCGAGGGGCTTGAGTGAGTTGCGAACCATTTCTAGGCCATTTTTAATTCTTGATTTTTGTCTAGAGCAGTGTACATCGCGATCTCGGACATTGGAACACGTTTGCGAAGAGAAAACTGAGAGAAAGGGGTCTGTGAATCGCGTTCGCGAAGAAGAAATTTAAGCTACATAGGGCTGACTTTGGAAACTCATATCTTACAATTTACTAGGAATATGGAGATGATCCAAATATAAAAGTTGTAGCCTTGGTGTCTAGTTTTCAGAAAGTCAAACTATTTGTCATTTGGAATTTTGTAAAACATGTTATGACTATTATACTAGAGGTTGTCTGGAGGAGTTGGGCAGCTTGTTCTTCGCGATCGCGAAAGGCAATTTTGAGCTGAGAAAAGTTGTGCTTCGCGATCACGAAGCATTTTCCGCTATCACGAAGGGTAAATACCTGGGCAGAAGCTATATTTTAGGGGTTTCGGCCATTTTATCATATTTGGAGCTATGGAGCTCGGATTGAAGCGATTTTTGCCACATGAATTAGGGTAAGTGTTCTCTACTCGGTTTTGATTATATTTCATGAATCTATCCTAGTTTTTGGTATTTGGTTGATGTTTTAAAAAGAGAAATTGAGGTTTTTTGTCTAAAGTTTCATAGAGTGAATTTTTGAGTTTTGAACGTCGATTTGGAGTCGGATTTGAGTGAAACTAGTATGGTTGGAATCGTAGTTGAATGGGTTGTCGAATTTTATGAGTTTTGTCGGGTTCCGGGCTCGTGGGCCTGAGGATTAACTTTATTAACTTTTCGAGCGGAGTTGGGAATTGGTAAGAATTGATTTATTACGAGTTAGTGTATATTTTTATTGGTTTGCACATTGTTTGACTAATTTTGGAGCGACGAGCATCGATTTGAGGTGTTAGAGTGGCATTGGAGCCGGTTATGGAACTTCAGAGCGAGGTAAGTCTCATGTCTAACCCTGTGAGGGAAAATTTACCTCGTAGGTGTTATATTCTTATGTGCTACATGTTGTGGGAGCTACACACGTATGAGGTGACGAGTGTCCGTTCGTATGCTAGAATTCCTGATTATGTCCGGGTAGACTTAGGTTTACGCCATGCTATAATTGTACTATTTGAGTCATCTTTGCTGGTTTAATTCCTTTATTTCGCGTTACAACTTGATACTAGACTTGCATAGGGTGATAGACTCGCTATTGTAGAGATGTGAGAGCTACTTGATAATCCGCGAAATAATTTGTGCTTCCCTTATGAATTCCTCTCGCGTTTTGCGTTTTCATCGCAAAGCTTTCCTTAATGTTCATAACTCACATGTTTATTCGTGAGTGGGGTCAAGGTCCCGTTAAAGCTTCTTACTCTAATGGGATCTGGCCGATCGCCTCGGCATGATTATGCACCACATTCTTATGGGAGCGGGCCATTCGCCTCGGCAGTATAATAGATGCATATATGATTTGTGCCTTTCGACCCTCGATAGTGTACACATTATTATGGGATCGGGCCGTATGCTTCGACATTTCTATAAAATACTCTTATGGGAGCGAGCTGTTCGCCTTGGCAGTGTCGTGTATAATATTTGTTAAGAAACCAACGTATCCGTATGTTTTCTTGATTTGAGTTGTGACGACCTTCTGGTGAGGTCCATTTCATATATATTCTGGTTGAGGAGGTAACTGATAATTGAGAGCTTGAATTTATTGTTCAGAAGAGGATTGTACCACGTACCTATATTTGCTTATTACCCTACCATATATTTGTTTACTGTATTTGAGTTATCTGACCACTAATAAGTGTCGATATCGACCCATCGTCACTACTTCTCCGGGGTTAGGATAGATACTTATTGGGTACGTATTGATTTACGTACTCATATTACACTTGCTACACTTATTGTGCATGCATATATATATATATATATATATATATATATATATATATATATATATATGTTTGGTGGTCTTTTTGGCACAAAGGCACGGCTGTTGCAGGGACTTTATGGTGAGTTGGATTCCATCTTACGATCCGCAGCATATAGAGTCTCCATCAGAGTTATTTATATTCTCCTGTCTAACTTGTATTCCAGACAGATATTGTATTATTATTGTACTCCTTAGTAGATACTCATACACTTGTGACACCGGATTTTGGGGGTTCCTACTCGATGATCATTATTGTAGTTCACGTAATTATTATCATTTTACCTTGTAATTTATATTTTATACATAAATTGGAAAATAAATTCACGGGTTTTCTACGAGTACCAGATTTTACTCTACTTATTTAATGGAATTCATGATTTCGAAAATAATAAAATTAGTAACTAAGTTGATTAATCACCGTTGGCTTACCTGACGGTAGCGTTAGGCACCATCACGACCTATAGTAGATTTTGGGTCGTGACAGCTGGTGCATCGGTTTCCTAAGAAAACATGGAAGTTATGCTTCAAAGAATGGAACATGTCGCAAGAATGGGACTCAACTCAGGCTTTGATCCAAAAATTGTTAAAAAAGAAAAGCAAGAAAGGCAGTCAAGCTGCAATAGAGTCTGAGTCTGACTAGGATTAGCTATTTGAATGTTTTAGAGTTGAAGCTAGAGACATGTTTAATTTATGAATTTGAGTTAGTATTTTGATAATTGGTTGATCAAAATTAATGTCGTTTGATTAGTTTGTTGGATTGTTATAAATATTACTGTTCGTTTTGTAGTAAATATTGGATTTGGATATTTATACTAGGTGTTTGGTAGCTTGTTAGGTGTTTGGTTGGCTGTTTTATTTGGCATGTGGTATAATTAAAAATACAACAGAATTCTGCTAAAAATTTTCAGATTTGCGACTGAATTAGTTGCAAATTTATTCAGAAATTACCCAGATTTGTGACTGGTTTGGTCGCAAATTGAGAATTTCTGAATTTTTTTAATTAAAATTCAAATGCGTCCTTTATTTTTCAGTTTGCGATGGAATCCGTCGGAAATTTTCGACTGGTTCGGTCGCAAATATTTTGCGACCACGTGTTTTCCGACCGACCTTTTTCGGTCGAAAATCTGTCGTATAAACATGATTTCTGACCGATTTTTGACTAATTTGACGGTCAGAAATTGGCTTTTTTCTAATAGTGTATGGATATTATATAGCCCATCTTCCCTTATGAGTGCATTTTCAAGGATCTAATACGAGTACGATAACATTTTAAAGAGTCCACACAATACACGGTAAAATTCAAAAATAGCCAGATTTACAAGTGGTAATTGAAAAATAGCCACAGTTTCAAAAGTAATTAAAATTTAGCCACTTCTCATGTAAAGATAAATCTTAATAAAAATACTATTCAAAATTCAGAAAATATTCAAGCATAATATACTGGAGTTCGAATTTTTTACATGTGAACTTCCAACATAATATACTGGAGTTCCAGCATAATATGTTGGAAGCTCATACACAGGTGCTCCAATCTTTAATATATTATGCTGGAACTTTCCATGTGCTGGATTCCAGCATAATATGCTGGAAGTTCACACACATGTACTCCAATCTCCAGTATATTATGCTGGAACTTTCCGTGTGCTGGAATTCCAGCATAATATGCTGGAAGTTCATACACAGGTGCATTAATCTCTAGTATATTATGGAGCACATGTGAACTTCCAGCATAATATGCTGGAAGTTCATACATAGGTGCTCCAATCTCCAGTATATTATGCTGGAACTTTCCGTGTGCTGGATTCCAGCATAATATGTTGGAAGTTCAAACACAGGTGCTCCAATCTCTAAGTATATTATGCCGGAACTTTCCGTATGCTGGAATTCCAGCATAATATGTTGGAAGTTCATACACAGGTACATTAATCTCCAATATATTATCTTGAAACTTTCCGTGTTGTAGCAAAATAATGGCTATTTTTCAATGACTTTGCAAACGCTGACTATTTTTTAATTACTTGTCCGAAAACTGACTAGCCGGTGCTATTTTCACCATAATACAACATATAATCCATCTTCCCTTATGATAGTAAACGTAAGGCACAAACTTCACCAAATATAAAGGGTGAGATTCAAAAATAGCCAGATTTACAAGTGGTAATTGAAAAATAGCCACAGTTTCAAAAGTAATCGAAATTTAGCCATTTTTTATGTAAAGATAAATGTGAACGAAAATATTGTTCAAAATTCGAAAAAATACTCCAGCATAATATACTGGAGTTCGAATTTTTTGCATGTGAACTTCCAGTATAATATACTAGAGTTCCAGTATATTATGCTGGAACTCCAGTATATTATGCTGGAGTTCCAGTAATATACCGATCGAGCATAATATATTGGAAGTTCATACACATGTGCTCCAATCTCTAGTATATTATGTTGGAACTTTCCGTGTGCTGGAGTTCCAGCATGTTGGAAGTTCATACACAGGTGTATCAATCTCCAGTATATTATGCTGGAACTTATTGCAATAAAATAGTGATTATTTTTCAATAAATTTATAAATACTGACTATATTTTAATTACCAGTCCGAAAACTGACTATCACTTACTATTTTTACAAATGTAAGAGTCCACACATTTATGTTTCTCGTTTGGAGCATGTTTGATCAATTTTTCAAGTTCAGCTTATTTCGAACGTACAAGCAAGTTACTGTACGAAATTGTAGCAGAATAATTAATGAGATGCATACATACACGAATATACATAAATCCATAATTACATATTTGCACCTTTCTTTACTATTTTAACTAGTATACAGTATTACGTATCTGACTTCTCATTTATTCTAAGCTAAACAATAAAAGAATATCTTTCACTTCTATATACAACTTTAGCTCCTCTGCACTGTATCTTTTTCCTATACCTCTATTCAAACCCCACAAGTTCTTGCCAAAAATAAAAAATAAAAAATAAAAAATTAAATCTTCCTTTTGTTGAAAAAATTAAAATTTTAACCCAACAAATTGCTAAAATTAACTTTTAGACCCCACGATTAATCATCTCCATGTACTGCTGTAACGACTGTTCTCTCTGTAACCTCATTTCTTCATTGAACTTCGTTATAAACGCTTCCACTCGCCGGTTCAACTCGTCCTGACTCGGCGACGGTTCAAGTATGGTTTTCCTCTTGTTTTCAGTTTGATGAACCGGGGATTGACTTCCGTGATTCTGCTGCCATGTGTTCAGGTGCCTCGTGAGCGGCACGTGACGACCTTCTGTTATCTTCTTCCATGTACTCTCTAATGTCTCATGTCTCTTCACCCTCGCTACCCTCAGTGATTTAACCCCTGTAATTCCAATTATTTACAGAATTAACCTTAAAAGTGTTTAAACTAACAAAAGAAAAATGATATTTTAAAAATATATGAGTTAAACATACTACTATAATAATTATATAACAAAAAATAAAAAGAATTAAACAAATATAAAAAGATATATGATTCATAGTACATATTAATAAGAAAATAATATTCTTCTCTTTCAATTTAAATGACACTCTCATTATTAGTTCGTTTAAAAAAAATATACTTTTATAATTAAAAATAATTTAATTTTAAATTTTTTATTTTACCTATTTTATTTATAATGAGAAATTTTTATAATCATATAATATTACGGCACAAAAAAATTTTTACCCCTTAAATTTTTAGAAACATAAGTTTCATTTTTTTTTTTTTCTTAAATTCCGTATCGCACTTCATCTAAATTGAAATCTTTTAAGGAGTATTACACAAAATGGAAAGATATGAAAGAGTAGTAAATACGAGTATAAATTTTTGAATCGTTTCTAAAAATATATTACGCTCTCTCTCAAATTAGATGATATATTTTTCTTTTTAGTCTGTTTAAAATAAATAATATATTTTTAAATTTAAAAATAAATTAACTTTAAACTTTTTATTTTATCTTTTTTATAGTAATACTAAGAAACTTTTATAACTACATAAATATTATTTTCCCATAAAGTTTTTATCCTTAACTTTTAAGACAATAAGTTATAAAAGCGCTTTTTTTTTTTTTTTCCTTAAACCCGTCAAAAGTATGGTTTATGAGAAATGTATATTTGTTACCTTCAGGATTCATTCTCGTAAGCGGTTTCCGGTGACCGAACCGGGAAGAAACCAGCGGTTTCTCCGTCGCTAGCTGTTGAAGCAGCTCCGTTTCCACTTCAGGCAACGGCGTAACAACGGAATTCGAAATCACAACCTCATCACCATTTTCAGCTTCAACCACCTGCTCCGGTTCAATATTTACCGGCTCAGGTTTCACCTCTAACACCTCCGATTCATGTACCGGTTCAGGCGATAACTCAGACATCTCCGGTTCACTCATGTTAACGTTTGACTGGGAAATTGCTATCAAATCTGAAAGCGGAGTTGATGTGGCAGACATCAACGGCTGTGATTGATCGCTAGAATGTTCCTTACGGTGTGACCGAGAAGTAGCGGCGATGATGATGATTATACAGTTGAGTAAAACGTAGAGGTAAGGAGGCTTGAGCCAACTGGAAATAAAGCTGCTCCAAATCGTAGGGAATTCATATAAAATTAATGGAACAGAGGCTTTAATTACCATAGCTGAAGATACTGCACCAATTGAAATTAGCAGAACTTTCATTGATAACATTAAGTTGCTCGTTGATGGTGCCATTTTCGTAAATTCTTGGCTATGTGGTGTAATTTTGCAAGCTGAAATGGTTGTTATTTGAGAATTGAGAGTGAAGATAGAAGTACGGACTGCAGAGATAAGTGTTGAGAGAGAAAGAGAGGAGTATAAATAAGAGATGGAGGGCTGAGGACGCGTATTTGTGGGATAAGATGAAATCTGAGCCGTTCGATTAGGTAAAAGAAAGTAGGCAAGACGAGTTTGGCTTCTTTCTTTTTTCGTTTTTTTGGGTTTTTTAGTTTTCCATTTGGTATATATTTGAAAGGACGGATGCTCATAATTTTTGAAATAAAAATATATATGTAAAAATTTACTAAAATTTTAATAAATCTTATAATAGAACTTATATTTTTAACAATACAATGAATTTTTTAAACTCATTAAATTTATTTTTTAGATTCGCTTTTGTATATCTAGTACTTGCTCTGGTCCACAATAAGTGACATTTTGGTCTTTGGCACACCCTTAAGTAAATACTAACTCTTAGAATTTTTTTTGACTAAATTACCTTTAATTTTAATTTGCATATTATTAACTTGACACATTGTGATATGTAAATAAAGACAAAATTAAAAAACTTAAGTTAATTTATTCTTAATTATTAAAAATGACACTTGTTTTGAACCAAATTAAAAGAGCAAATAAGTTACTTATAAAGAACCGGAAAGAGTACTATTTTTGGGACACTATTAATTGAAATTCACCTCAAAAGATTTCACTTTGAATATAAAGTGTTTCGATTAAAGACAACTTCATGCGTATATAGTGTGACAATGTTTAACAATGAGTTTGAGTTTGACTTTGAACTGAGAGGGAGTAGAGTTGCCACGAAGCAATTATGGTAGTTGATTAAGGATAATTATTACTTGTATGTTACTTCATGCATGGAATTTGGTGTACTAATTTTTTTTATTACTAATAATATAGCTTACGTACTATGTCACGACCCAAAATCTATAAAGGTCGTGATGACGTCGGACACCACTGTCAGTCAAGCCAACAATTAATACTTAAATGGGTTCTCATTTTTGTTACTTTTGAAATCAAATTTTCCTTCAATTTAAATTGTGAAAGATGAAGTTTACAAAAACAAATAATAATATCTTTAAAACTTCCAATACAGCACAAACCATAATCCTCCCAAAACCCGGTGTCATAAGTACATGAGCATTAACTAGGAATGTAGAATAAAATACAACAGCTGTCTGGAATACAAATTGGACAGGAAAAATGTAAGTACTCTGAGGGAGACTATGTTAGTTGCGGATATAGAATGCAGCTCACCTAAGTCCCCGCCATAATCGCGCCTCTACGCTCACAAGGCCACTAAACATATGTGTACCTGCACAAAAATGTGTAGCAAGTATAGCATGAGTACGTAAATCAACGCGTACCCAGTAAGTATCCCGCCTAACCTCGAAAAAGTAGTGACGAGGGGTCGACCCGGACACTTACTATGGGCTATAATTAATATATCAATGATATGATTAAGCATGGATCACGTAGAACGACTGTAAGCCCGATATTATGAAGTAAGTAAGCAATTCTTTTGTTAACAAGAAGTTTTTTCCCAAATTCATTTTTCATCATTTTAACAGTTTATATCTCAGGTCAATGAGGTAATATCAATTATTATAATTTCCGAAGCAATTAATACAATCATGTGCAAGTCATGCCGAGGTCGTACGGTCCGATCCAATAATAAAAATAAACGGTGCACTGCCGATGGTTGAACGGCGCGAACCATAGATACATCTATAAATTTTCCCGCTAGGGAATCATACATGCGACGCGGCCAAATATAAGTTTAACATTTAAATCATATTTCTTTCTTGATTCTTTTTAAAATAATGAAAATTCAACTTGAAACTTTTTTTAAGGAAATTACCCCGCTCGCAAATTATACTTGCAACGCGGTTACACATAGATTTCTTAAGCTATTATAATATTCCTCAATTCTTTTCGAAATTTCGAAGTTCATATGAAACCTTTTAAATCTTAAATTCTTCAAATTTCCATTCTTTCAAGACAATTACTACTCAACCTCAATCTTGCTTCTTCTCAAGGCAAACAATAACATAAATCGACATCAATGTCAACAAGGCATGATGTAAACCTAGACTACCCGGACATAGGCATAACTACCTCGTGCATACGTGTGCCCCCATAATTAGAAGCATATATTAATTTATTTTATCTATGGGGTTAATTCCCTCTTATAAGGTTAGAAAGGAGACTTACCTCGCTCCAAAGTTTCATAACCGGCTTCTGAGCCCTTCAAACAACTTGAATCGATGCACCACGCTCTAAAACTAGCTAATAATTATGCAAACCCATTAATATATACTCAAATACTCAATAAAATCTAATTTATAACAATTTCTAACCCCGATCGAATTGTCGATAAAATTACCCTAGGGCCCACGTGTCCGGATTCTGAAATTTTTCGAAGTTAATCATTAGCCATGACCTTATGAACTCAAATATATGATTTATTCCCAGTTCCATGCCCAAATTCGTGGTCAAAATCCAAAAATATCAAATTCTAGGTCTTCCCCCCCACAATTTATACTAATTTCCATGTTTAAATCCTTATGCAAACCATGTATTTAACTTATAATAAGTGGGAATCACTTATCTTGAGTTGCTTGCTGAAAATCTCCCCTTGAAGCTCTTCAAAATTGCCCAAACCAAATGAAAATGGGAGAAAAAATGGGCCAAGTCCCGTTTTAAAGAAATCCCACTGCTCAGCGACATTTTCGCACATGCGGCTCTTAGGCCACTTCTGTGCATCCGCTTCTGCGGAACTCCATCCGCACTTGCGGCCTTGCCGCTTCTGCGGCTACTGATATCGCACTTGTGCCATCGCAGGTGCGTAAATTCCTTCCGCTTCTGCGATTCTCAGCAGCTTTGGCTCCTTCCGCTTCTGCGAGCCATCTCCCGCACCTGCGGGCTCGCACCTGCGGCCCTCTTCATGCAGGTGCGGTTACACCAGATGCCCAGCTGCTTCAGCTCTTCCTCAAATTCAAATTCGATCTGTTAACCATTTGGAATCCACCCGAGGACCCAGGGATCCCGTCCAATCACACCAATCAGTCCAATAACATAACACAAACCTGCTCAAGGCCTCTAATCACATCCAACAACATCGAAATCATGAATCGCACCCCAATTCAAGCTTAATGAACTTTAGAACTTCAAACTTCTATATTCGATGCCGAAACCTATTAAATCACGCCCGATTGCCCTCAAATTTTGTACACAAGTCACATTTTACATTACAGATCTACTCCAACATCCGAAATCGGATTCCGATCCCGATATCAAAAAGTCCACTTCCGGTCAAACTTCTCAAAAACCTTCAGATTTCTAACTTTCGCCAAACGACTCCAAAATAACCTACGGACCTCCAAATCCACTTCCGGACGCGCTCCCAATACCGGAATCCATACAGAGCTATTCTCAGACTCGGAATTCCAAACGGACATCGATAACATTGAAATGCACTTCAACCCAAATTTATGGAAATCTTTCAAAATGCTAACTTCCACAATAGGTGCTGAAACGCTCCCGGGGCATCCAAAACCCGATCTGAACATACGCCCAAGTCCGAAATCATCATACGAACCTGCTGGAACCTTCAAATCCCGATTCTGAGGCCGTTTACTCTAAAATCCAATCTTAGTCAATTCTTCCAACTTAAAGCTTTCGAAATGAGAATTTTCTTTCCAATTCAACTCCGAACTTCCCAAAATTCAATCCCGACCATGCGTACAAGTTATAATACATGAAGTGAAGCTGCTCATGGCCTTAAATCGCCGAATGACGCGGTAGAGCTCAAAACAACCAGTCGGGTCATTACATTCTCTCCCACTTAAACATATGTTCGTCCTCGAACGTGCTAAGAACTGTGCTGGAGTTGTCCGAAATCACTGTTTAGCACCTCGTGCACCTACCCGTGCTTCCACAACTCAGTTGAGCACACTGGCTCAAGTAAATATGAAGATTCCCCTTTTGTTTAGTCAAATTTGTCTTAGAGCCAAATTCCAACATCCGGAATCTTCTACCAGGCCTGTTTCCAACATACGATCAACGTATCAATCACCACCCGATGTACCAAAACATGACTGTATACCTTTGCTGAATTCACACCATGCATCGCATAATTAGCATGACCATAATAATATCCTCTGATAACAATAGCCGAAATTCCACGAACCTGGTGTCCACAACATACCTCATGTCACATACATGTCCTACTCCAACTCTTGTAATGCTGCCACAGCGGAAACAATGCGTAGAAATTTACAACCAACTGCCGAGTCAACCATTCATTGAGTTTCTCCCCTTGACAAGAAGCATTACCTCATTCAGGGTTGAATACCAATATTTACTCTTTAACTATGCCTCATACCGATCTGATCACACTGACCCCAGGTCCAATAATCCCGTCTCTCCCAGTATAAGCTACCCAAGCAATAAGCCACCTCAGACTTCAGACAAAAATCTCATATGATGCCACAATGTGCCGACAAACTACAAACATGAATGTGATTCATAAGGAAAACGAACTCTAGAAAGAACTACTCAACCCACGTAACTAATTAAATAACCGAAAAGGCGTTATGAACCTTTCTCAGAAAATGAGAAACAAAACACACAAGAATAGATATAGGGAACTATACTCAACATCACACTGTTGCGGCGTGCAACCCGATCCAAACAACATGTCTGTAGCGGCATGCCACCTGATTCACACATAATAACCTGTAAGGAATTAGTTACCAAGCTAAAATGCTCATACCTGCAAAATACCCGAATATCGTCCACAAACACGCCAAGTGCATAATACCATCCCTGGGGAGATAGATAGCGCCATACGCTACAAACTCAAGCACAACTAAGGTGCGATATATGACCTAACTCTCGTGAGCCATCCTGCTCACATAACACAATCGCTACGCGGAACCTCAACACATATGAAATCATCAAGCCGTTTCACAACTCACACGACACAATATAGTATTACATGAAATAGTCGGCGGCGGAATAACATCCAACGTCTGAATACTCATCCACAAGGAGCGCTATGCTGA